TGCTCGCACACACTTACACACATGCTCACACACTCGCTCACTCACACACACACACACACTCACACACACAGTTACACACATGCTCACACACACACACTTGCTCACACTCACACACACACACGCTCACACACACAGAGGCTTTTGTCATTTGTAGTAGAGCACTGAAGCATCTTTATCTGTGGCTGCTTCAGAAATAAATCCCCTCCCAACCCCAGGCCCCATAGGCTGGGATCATTCGTCGTGGCACTTAACCTCAGAGATAGACATGGGCTTGAAAGCCAAACTGCTGAGTCATTCCTGTCCCCGCACCGATATCTTGGAAGAGGCTCAGTCAGCCAGTCAGTGGGCCACTGTGGGGAGCACTTTATCATTTGGGGTTCTCACAATGTGTGGTTAAACTCTGGGTGACCCCAGGCAGCCTTCCAGACTGGCACAAGCTCGCCAGGACACTCAGACAGATCCTCTTCCAGTGAGGAGGGGTGAAACCGGTTCCGGCTCCAGAGGCCAGCACAGGTGGCGAGGGGAGAGCGCCTGCCCGGGGTCCCCCCTGCCCCCCCGCCACCCCCCATCTGTGGACCGGGAGAGGCGGGAGGGGCGGTGGGAGGCTGTGGGCTCCCCAGACCCCCCACTCTACCACTTACTACATGTGTGACCGTACGCATTTACCTGCCGGGGCCTCGAGTGCCGTATCAGTTCCCTAAGTACACAACATTATGTGAAGCCTCTGGCACGATGCCTGGGGACATGGCTGGCACACATGAATGATCGTTTTCCCTCTTCCCTTGTGTGATATAATTTAAAGTAGGGCCATGCGATCCTGCCAGTCAGACCGCTTGAAATTTCACTAATAGTCCTTCTTAAAATCCCTGAGTACCATATAAATACTCCTAGGGAGATATCAGCTAATCTCTTTATCAGCTATCACTTTAAGGGGATCAGCTGTGGATTGAGAACAAAACCCCAAGGGAGAAAGATACTGGGAGAATGGGCGAGGGGAGAGCTCTGGGCGCTGCTGGCCCCCGCAGGAGGTGTGGACCCAGCAGGAGCCTGTGTGTGGGGAGACGGGGACGGGGGGCGGGGGTGTGGAATGCTGTCAAGTCTGGGGGGACATTATGTGTTGAGAGGTCATACTTAGCAGTTGGAGGTCACACCTGTTTTGAGATCACAGGTTCTTCTCAAAGATGTTGGCCGGGACAATGTGGGGGAGGGAGGGGAGAGGTGCAGAGAGCTAATTCTCTGCCACCTTCTATTTTATTGACTCCCTTTGGTTTGTCTTAGCACTTCTAGAGGTTGAGGAAGCAAGGAAGAGTCACTGGATTTGGAGCGTGAGTGTGTCAGGCTTGATGGAGAAGAAACCATTCTCCATCTTTCCACTCCAGCCTTGTTCCTCTGCCCCCACTTCCTGGTTGGAGCTGGGGTGAGACACAGAAGGGGCAGATATTGACCTGCATCCCTGGGCTTGAAGGGAGTCAGTAGCTTCCCTGGTCCAGACCCAGAGAAGGGGAGCAAACCCCAAGGCTGAGTTTCACTTGAGTGACCTTGAATGTCCAGAACAAGGGGACCCGAACACCCCGCGAAAGGAGTTAGAAAAAGACGGGACTTCCCAAGGGCAGGATTGATGTCTCCAGTCCCATTTCCATTGGAAATAAAACAGGAGCCACACTCCCTTCACTGCAGGTGCCCTCAAGAGATGCAAGAGCTGTGAACACAGCAGAGGGGGAAGCCCCACCCACCTTGTTGCCAGATGCCTTTGTGTCCTGGGCTGTAGTCAGGGAGGTGGCTTTTGGAGGCAGCAGTCAAGCGTTTTGAGATGAGGGGGCTTGGTGTGCAACTGCTACTTAAACAGCAGATGAAAGAAAGCAGGACCTGGGCGTGGTTTCACGGTGGTGGTCCTCCCACCCTCCATCCTAGCCAAGTCGCATGTATCACTGCTACATCCTTGGTGGTCGTCACTTGGGCACAGAAAAAGCGTTTCCTGAACCGTTGTCTAACAAGGATGTGTTAGACCGTGAACCCCTTCAGAGGGAAAGAGTCTGCCAGCAACATGTGCCTCCCCGGCTGACGCGCTTGCCCCAGATGACCTGTGTCTGCCCTGTTGTTCCCTTTCCCCGATAGCAGTGGTCGACCACATTTCTCCCCACCTCATCTGCTGCTCACACTTCTCATCATCGTAGGCTGGCCTTGCTAGGATTCCTGCCACTGCATCCCCAGCAAGGGGCAGTCCCAGGAGTGGAAAAAGAAAAGCATCTGGAAGGCAGGGTGAGGAAGGGAGCAGTTAAGGGAGGAAGAATAGGAGAGATGCAGAGAAGACCCGGGGGCAGCAGAGAAATGAGAGGAGCAGAAAGGGAAGAAGAAAAGAGGCGTGTTGGACTGTACCGTTACACAGAGCAACTGGAAATCGCTGAATTTCCATGCGTCAGATGCTGCTCCGGGCACTTTTCATCGCGGGGCTCATTCTGTCCTCTCGTCCACACCATGCCCTGGATTACTGTCAGGTCTCCCGTCTTCTAAATGAGGAAACTGAGGCACAGAGAGGTTTAGGAACGTGCCCAGGGTTACCCAGCAAGTAAGCTTGGAGGTTGAGATTCCAGATGCTTCTGGAATCAGTGGTGTTTGCTCTTGGCTTCCTGTCACCTGGAAGTTTTTAGGAGTGACAGTCACACCCCAGGGCCAAGTCAGAGTCTCTGAAGAGGGGAGCCAGGTATGCGTGTTTGTGTGTTTTTAATTTCCCCAGATAATTTCAGTGTAGAGGCAAAGTCAAGAATCACTGCACTCAATCAAGCCCCAGTTCAAATTTAAATACGAAAAGAACACATGTGAAAATTCTCTGAGGTTTCTTTGTTTTTTCTCTCTCTCTCTTAAAGGTGGGATGGTGGGAGGGAGTTGCTACAGGCCATGCCAGAGTTTGCCAGAGACAGACCTGGGTGAATGCAGAGGTTTGCCTAGTGGTTCCCATGATTCTGATGGTTATATCAGGAAAGGACCACGAAACCCCAAGACCATCTCTAAGAAAGAAGTGAATGTGGGCACTGGGGTTTCTTTGTTTCATAACTGTTCTTAAGCAGTCTTGCTTACACACATTCAACGACAAGAATGAGAGCTTGCCCCAGACTCCCAACGTGTGTCTGTATCAGGAGCCCTTATCTCATGCTCCTGAATTTCTCCTCTACCAGTGACAGCTCAGAAACCACCCCATTTCCCAGCTGCATAGATACCACCCACCCCACTCCAGACACTATCCCTGTGGGAACTGCCTCTGCCTGAACAAACACAGAGACCAGTACTGTGTTATAAAGCTCCTTTACCTGACTCCTTCTCACCATGACCTTAAGGGAAGAAACCACTGTTGTCCTAGAGATTAAGGCAAACCCAGAAAGATAAGATGATTTGTCCACAGTCACATGGAGCCACGGGGAGGACAGACGAGATCAAGTCTTCAGTTTCCAAATCCACTGCTGTTTAAAAAAAAAAAAAGTTTTATTTTGTATGGGGTGTAGCCTATGAACAGTGTTGTGGTGGTTTCAGGTGGACACCAAAGGGACTCAGCCATACGTTCCATGTGTCCGTCCTCCCCCAAAGCTCCCCTCCCATCCAGGCTGCCACAGGACATTGAGAGGAGCGCTGTGTGCTGTGTATACAGTAGGTACTTGATGGTTATCCATTTTAAATATAGCGTCCACTGCTCCTTTTTTAAGACACCTGTGTACTTAGGGAGCAGTGGGAAAAGGAAACTGGAGAGGAAGAGGAAGTGCAATGCCAAGTGCGAGCTCCCCAAGGAGCCCCACCTCCCTCCCGTCTCACCCGAGCTGTTCTTTCATTGCCTCGGGATCAATTTACCACTCCCCAGCTGTCAGGACTTCTTTTTCCTGGATGTACTGGATGCACTGTACTGAATGTACTGGATGCACGGTACTGAATGTACTGGATGCACGGTACTGAATGTACTGGATGCAATGTACTGAATGTCCTTTTCCGATTTGTCTCCATCAGAAAGCCAATACGAAAGAACTGGGAATGTCATAACAGCAGCAGTTAGAAAAGAAACAAGGCCATGCACTTTGGTTTTTCTCGCCCTCTTCAGGAGACACCGCCAGGGCCATCTGGTCCCCTAACTAAGACGTCTCCTGAGAAAATGTGGGGTTGGGAGATGCCTGGCCCAGGTGGGCAGAGAATTTGAATCTGCTTCAGATAAGCTCTTAAGAGAACCAAAGCTGGATAAGATGGGAGCTTTGTAGATTTGCCCGCAGTCAACAGTGCTCTGTAATCAATCCCAGCGCCGTGCGATGGGGACCGGAAAGCTTTCTTTCCCAATTCTTTGCAGCCTGGGGAGTGAGGAACCAGTAATTGACTCCAGCTTCCTTGAAGGTTGGGTCCTGGAGTCTGAGTCAGCACACACTTTGCCAAAAGGGCTTTCTAGGCAATCTAGGGCGAGCGAAGAAGGGGTCCCTTGACCTTGATCCTCTTCCAGACCCCAACTCTAACCTTTAGCAAGGTGAAGCGAGAAGACCTCAGAAGGTCTCTAAGAATGATACTTTAGCGGGCCCTGAGCTGCGGGGAAGGGAGAGGGAAGAGAAAGGGGTCCAGAACAGCTGGGTCTGTAGGCAGGTTTCTGTGGCACTTCCGTGCTGCCCAGCTTAGCTCAATAGGGGTTCAAGTGTGAGTGGAAGGAAACCAGAAGCAGAAAGGCAGCAAGGGGAGCAGAGAAGGCCTTGGAGCCAACTGGAGAATGGGGGTGAGGTCAAGCCTGACACATGCCTTTTGCTCTTGACCCCAGGGAGTACTGGAGAGCACAGGCAGCTTTTCTAGCTTTTCAGAGGAGCCAAGCGCTTAAGTTTAGTGTGTGAGCCTGTTAATGTGCTTTTCTGCTTGGATTTTGAGTTTGTTCTCCCAGTTTCGTTATGTGAATCTTGTAAAGGGAATTACACACAAGAAGAAAGCTTAGAACTTTTGAACTACGGTCTTACAGATCCCCTCTCTAGTCCACTCCTTTTCGTTTACAGAGGAGACAATCGAGGCGCAGTGAGCTTCATCAGCCCGCCCAGGGTCACAGAGCCGGTTAGTGAGAGCTGCTCGAAGCAGAGCACACCCGCTTTTCCCACTCTCCTGCTCTGTCTTTGCCTTGACTGAGGCCCAGTAAGGGCGACAGTGAGACACATCAGTAAGTGATCTAACTCGCCACTAGAGAAAACATAAATCAGTGACCACAGAATTTCAGCCAAAGTTTGTCCGTCACATCATAAAAAAAAAAAAAAAAACCTTGCCAGGGAGAGGCTTGCAAATCCAAACCAGATCCTTCTCCCCTCCTAGAGACGACAGTTGCACTGCACTGCGCGGCGGCCAAGCGTTTCCAGCAAGCGCCCTCAGCTGCATTTGAGGCTTTAGCTTATTTGAACTGTCACGATAAATGAAACCTAGTAGATGAACATCATCTCCACTGCAGAAGCTTTGACCCCCGGATGCTGCTCTGGAGGAAGGGGAGCGGGACTAAGGAGTCAGGCTGCCTGTGAGCAGAGGGTCCTGCGTTACGCGTGTGCGGTCCCAGCCCACGGAGGAGCCGCACCGACTCTTCCACACAGGGCGCTGCCACTTGCGACGCACAGCGTGTGCTGTCCAGACCTTCGAAATCTGGCACATCTGTTTGGGGGCAGGATTGGCAGCCTTTGAACCAAAGGCACCGATCCAGGATCTGCTCTTCCTTGAAGTGTCAGGGGGTTTCATTATTGCATAGCAACTGTGAGAAAGGATGACTCCTCCAGGGGCGTGAGTCTCTAGGCCAGGACTGAATCATCTGTTTCATTCTCAGAATCAGAGATTCTTGCTGATGGCTCCAAAATTAAGTGCTGAAATTAAACAGAAAAAAAATTACTCCAGTCACTGGGATATGTTAGAGAAGTTAAGGGGAAAAAAAATAAAGTACAGGTAACTTTCTGCCTGTAATTTTAAAAAGAAAACAAAACAAAACTTAAGAGCATGTTTAGAGTTCTGAAAATCCCACCCGAGACCATTCTCACGTTGCTTTCCTGTGTCTCACCTCAGTGGATAAAGGTTACTCGAGTTTATTAGATACAGGAAAACCGTGTTTCTGAGAGACTCCTTCATTGTGTATTGATCCTTCCTTTAGGCTTGTTCACCAACCAGAAGAACTGTAGTTTTCAATCCAGGACTCTTAGCCAGAACAGCCTTCTCACTCATTAACTCAGTCAACTGAGTGCTTCCTGTGTTTCCACTGGAGCCTCAGAGATGATCAAGACATAGTCTCTGCCCTCTGATCACTCATGGCCTAGTAGGGGAGATAAACAAAAAAATCTGCACCTATAATACAGCGTACTAAAAGTTACGAGTGTAGTGCTTGGAATCAGATTCAAAGTTCAGCTCTGCTGTTTACTAGCAAGTGGCAGTTCTTGGACAGGATTTCTCTCCTTTCTCTAATTAAATCTCCATTTTCCCCTCCTTAAAGCATAGACCTTATGGAGTTATGTGGAGATTAAATGATGTGTTGTATACAAAGCCCTTTGTACAATTTTTGGGAAGTGATAGCCACTCAGTAAATGGAATCTCCTAGTAGAGTAGCAGTTGAGGTGTTTGTAGGCGCTACACGGTCCAGAGAAAGGGGGTTGGAAGAACAGGGGAGAAGAAGGGGTGATCTCCAGGAAGGCTTCAGGACATAAGGACACAGACAAGGTTTTGAAGAGTGAGTTTAAGTCAGTAGGATGATCAGAGGGAATGTGAGACTGTTCTCAGCAGGAGGAACAGAACTGCCTGAGCACAGAGTTAGGACAGAACATAGAATACTTGAAGGACTTGGTAAAGAAAGAGCTTCCTGTGGCTGAAGCAAAGGAACGATGATAAATGGAGGCAAGATGATGAGGGACATAAAGGGAAGTAAAAGCTCTCATACAGCGCTTTAGATGACAGGGAAGGGGAGAAGAGTTAAAAAGAAAAAGGGGAATGGCCTTCAAGAGCTAAAATTTGAGTCAATATAAAATATCAAGTGAGTATCTTAAATGCCATACATAGTCTCTGCACCCCTCTGCTGAGCCTCAGTGAGAGAATCTTTTATTCTCACCACAATGCAACAAACTCAGAAATTAGAAAAAAAAAAAAAAGAAACAAACACTCAGCCTTTCCACTTGGAAATCTAAAAACAGGTCTCTAAGTGAAGTTAAAGTTGCTCAGTCATGTCCAACTCTTTGCAACCCCATGGACTATACAGTCCGTGGAATTCTCCGGGCCAGAATCCTGGAGTGGGTAGCCATTCCCTCTTTCAGGGGATCTTCCCAACCCAGGGATTGAACCCAGGTCTTCCGCATTGCAGGCAGATTATTCACCAGCTGAGCCACCAGGGAAGCCCATCTCTAAATAACTCTTAGATTAAAAGTGAAATCAAAATAGTAAAACAGACTATTTAGAAAAGAACTGTGAGAGGATGATTTACCAAAGCCTGTGGGGTGAAACAAAGTTTCATTCAGAGGAAATTTTAGAGCTTTAAACTCATCTATCAGAAAACAAGAAATACTGAAACTAAATGAATTAACCATTCAACCCAAGAAATGAGAAAAAGAAGGAAAAAATAAACCTAAAGAAAGTTAAAAGAATGAACTAGCTAAGTTGAAAACAAAAGGCAATTTTCAAAAACGGGGTTGATCAGTAAAACCAAAAGTTGTGCTTTTTTAAAAAGTAGAAAAATAGATAAGCCTTTGGCGAATAAAAATTTTAAAGGAGAGAATACACAAAAAAGCATTCAGTTAAAGGAGACATAAATAAAAGAGGTTCAGATTCTAAGAGAACATTATGTACAACTTTATTCTGATGTAAATTACTAAAAATTTTCCTTTATAAGTTGTAGAAAGCCTGACTAAAGTAAAAGCTATAGGAGGGAAGTTAAAGATAGTCACAGATTTACCACCAGCCTCAGATGGTTCTGCAGATGAATTCCAGCAAACCATCAAGGAATAGATAATCACTACATAGAAATAGAAGGAAAATGTCTCAACTCAGTCTAAAAGGCTAGTTAACATTTATTACAATAGGCAAGGGATGGCACACAGAAAAGAAGTCTCTGGACCAATCTCACAAATTTCAAAGCCCTAAAATAAAATATTAGCAAATGAATGTAAGAGTAGAAGAAAATCTATGAATGTGATTCACTACACTAGATTAACAGAAAACGATATGCTCATCACTGTAGGTAGAAAAACTTTAAAACATTTGATGAAATGCAACAAACTTCCTGATTAAAACACTTTAAAACTCTGGGGGAGCCAGGAGAAAAACCTACCTGGCATAATTTAGTAAACATTATACTTGTGATAAACCATTAGAAGCATTTCCCTCAATGTTAGGAATAAAATAAGAATGCCTCCCACACTACTATTATTTCATACCATTTTAGAGGTATTATCCAGTGCAGTATGGCAAGAAAAAGAAATGAGAACTACAAACACTGGAAAAGAAGAGATAAATTTAAACTTGATTATTTGCAGATGTAATTGTCCAAATTTTTCTAAAAATCCATGATAAAAACTATTTGAATCCACAAGAGTGAAATTGGAATAGATTCAGTCTGACAAAATCAATCATTTTTTTCTAAACATCAGCAGGGATACATTAGAAAATGTGACGAAAAAGAAGTATAGAATTCAAGAAAGCAAAGAATACTAGAAAGTATTCAGGGATAAATCTAAAAAGATCTACATGAAGCAAAAACATTAAGAACTTAAAAGTAATTTAAACTCACCATTTAAAAGTTCAAATAAGGAAAATAGAAAGAAGAAAGTGAAAATTACCTGCAACCTCTCTAGTCAGAAGAAGCCTATGTTAAAATTTGGTCTGTCCTTCCAGAGTGTAACAGTATTTGAAAATACTGTCTCTTTGAAAATGCATGTGCTATATTAAGCAAAAAGAAGACAAAAGTTTGTTTTCAAAGTGTGTTAAACTTGTGATAAGAAAGTAAGTAGAGGTGATAAAACATAGACTCATCAGGAAGAAACAGAAATTGAAAATGAGATTTCTGAATGAGTAGAAAGATGCCAGCAGAAAAATCCCCAGTCTGGGGAGATGATTGCTTTGCCACCATGTTCTGTCAGCTGGTCACGCAGCTTTAGTCTTGGCCTGGCAGAGAATGGCCCTGGAAAAGAGCTCTGATAGTCTTGGCTTTCATTCCATTTCTCCTTGTATGCAGTTCTTGCCTGCTATCTGCTTACCTTCTCTCCAACACGCTATTTTAGAACCAAAGGAAAACCAACAAAATGTGAGTCATTGGCTGAATATGCCCCAGCTGTGGGACCAGAGAATTTTGTAACTCAACCTCCTGTTCTGTCTTCCATTTCTGCTCTCCCAGACCGCCCAGGTTTGCTGAATGTGAAGCCCATTGAGGACATACAAGACAACCTGCTGCAAGCCTTGGAGCTGCAGCTCAAGCTGAACCACCCCGAGTCCTCCCAGCTCTTTGCCAAGCTGCTCCAGAAAATGACAGACCTCAGACAGATTGTGACAGAACACGTGCAGCTGTTGCAAGTAATAAAGAAGACGGAGACGGACATGAGTCTCCACCCGCTCCTCCAGGAAATCTACAAGGACTTGTATTAGCACGGAAGTCCGAGTGCGCTGACAGCAGCATTCTCCTTCTCCCGATTGCACTATTATTTTGAGGGGAAAAATCTGACACCTAAAAAAATTACTGTGAAAAAGCATTTGAAAAAAGAAAAGGTTTTAGAATAATAGATCTATTTTATGCATATTGTTTATAAAAAAACATTTACAATTTACTTTTAATATTAAAAATTACCACATCGTGAAATTACTGGTCGTATTTGAAGACTGAGTCTGTTGTGTTCCCCACCCCATTCTCCAGGATTTTGTTCCCTTTCATTTCCCTTCCCTTCCTTCCGTCCTTTTCCATCTTTATTTTTCATTTTTCTTTCTTTCTTAAATACGTGAAACAATGTGGATGGAATTGCTGACCAATTTTTATTCTAAGTCAAATCATTTTTTACTCAATTTACAACTTTTCTGAACCTTCTGTCTGCTTGAAAAATTACAACTAAGAATGGAACTCCAAGACCAAAAACCATTCAGAGCATGTGTTTCTTAACCTGGATGTACTCATGTGAGGCGTATCCTTAGGCCTACCAGGAATTCAGTCTTCTTCCTTAATCCCAACCAAGATTTTCACTCACCAGCAGCAGCCCTCTAACAGGATACCAAGGCGTATGCAAATACCCCAGTGGCAAGTATTAATGGCTAGACGCTGTGGTAACACAGAAGTGTTATAAGACATGGTACCTGCCAGAAGAACTTACCACTGAATTGAGAAGAGATGAATCCTTCTTAAAAGCAGGTTAAACAACACAGTGTGTGCCAAATGAATGGTTCAGATGCCAAGTACTATAAGAGTTGAAAGTAATGACGATTGGAAAAGTCATGAGTGACTGTAAGCTCGTTCAAGTGGGCCTCAAAGATGTGTTGGACTCGGCGATAGGTAGAGAGTAGAAGAGAAGACATTCTAGGAAAGCAAAATTATAGGAATAACAACAACAAAGGAAACAAAACCAAAACAAAACACGAATGAGGGGAAAGGACCACATTCTGTTCCCGACGTATGTAGAGCAATTTTGCTACATTTTCCTGCTGACTTCCTTGGGACCACCTTGCCCAGGGAGCTCTGACTTTGTGACCTCAAAGGCTAATTATCTATTCAGGAAATACATGCCTCCCCAGCAAAACAGATGGCATGTTCCCTAAAAGCAGAGACCTTCTTGGCACGGGGAACAGGTTAGTTGATTGAAGCCACCAAGTTCATTAGCGTTGCTTAGCCATGAACAACATGATGACTTTGAAGCACGCTTCTCTGCTGAGGTCTCTTT